CCTACAGAGATCGGCATCACGATATATTGTACCAAAATACGCCCACTTCTCGAATATGCCTCCCCATTGTGGGGCGGTTTGCCGAAGTACCTTGCAGAAGAGTTGCAGTCTATACCAAACAGGTGCCTAGATATCATTGGGATGCCAAGAACATCCCTTCCAACGCTAGAGGACAGGTGAAACATAGCGACAAAGCGTGAATTTGAATGAATTGTGAATGATACTAACCACTCAAATCAAATTTTTCTCACTAAGCCAAATACCAGCCACGGCTGTAACTTAAGATCCAAACCAGGTTCAGTAGCAATACCAAAGTCAGGAACGCAAAGACATGAAAATTTATTTATAGCAAGAGCTGCAAGACTCCTTTAATGATCTGTTATTTTTACGGCTTACTTTTTTTATTAGAATAATCACTTGATAGCATTTTATAGTATTGTAAATCCATTGTATCTATTTTTAAAAGATGGACGTAAACTGGAACCTGATATAACATAGTTCTGAGGGAAAGACTGAAAATCGTTCCCGTGGAGGGGATACGTTATATATCCGTTACGGGAGTCCGTCTCAAGCATGTTACTGTACTTAAAGAGCAAAGAATGTCATGATCAGTTATACAGGGATGTTCGTTGCATCAAGGTTTAGCTGTACTCCATTACTTTTTGCATGCGGAAGAGTGGCTCTTCCAGAGAATACAAGGGTTATTATACCGCTCATGTAAATCGATACGCGACTGTATTGTTTAGTGAGATTCTTAAGCGAAAGTGAAAAGAATTGCAAACAACAGACTTATCAAACCAAGCTTTGGCAATGGAGCAAACTGAGCTATTCCAGATGGGCTTGGATCTTTTAAAACAGCTTTGACATTTTCGAGGGAGCCGTTATTGGCATGAGGATCTATCCCAAGCAATTGGCACATTAAGGGATAGAGATCGACCGTTTTGAAAGGCTCCACGATCGTGCCCTCCCGAAAAGAGGGGCCACGAGCATAGAAAACCGAGTAGCTCTTCGATTCCACAGGGGGCCATCCATGTTCCCCAAGGCTAGCAAGAGTATCGTTTCTAGAGCGAGTTACGACCCAACCAACTTCGGGATCGATAAAAATCGGAGGGATTCGTCGGTTGTTTTTCCAATGATATTCCGAGGGAATGTCTTCTTTTTTAAAAATTCTGCGGATGTGTGGTATGGGGTTCTTCGTCAGGTTTTGATAGATGGCTTCTTTCATTCCAGGGTGTGGCCAGATGTGAACTAGGGGACCCGACTCAGTCAAGAAGTAACTGCTCGAGTCAATGTAATCATCCAAATACACCTGTCGGCTTGATGAAGTGCTGTCCATTCCATGGTCACTGACAATTATTAAATTCACCTGCAAAAGAACGTTACAACCGTAAACGGTAATTAAGAAAGAAATTGTAAAATTGCTTGGTCTTAGCATAAGTGCGTCTTGTATATTTCAATGCTTAAAGAATCCCACACCACGTCAGCGACCCTGATCGCAAGTTAGCTTGCATTACAGGCTCTTCATGGGCCAAGCGAGGCGAAAGCGGCATTTCGATCCTCCCCTCTTCTCGCGCTTCGGGTGAAATGCCACGTTCGCCTCGCCACAGGGTCAAGAGGAGTTTGGTGTGAATAAATGAATTACTTATTTAAAGACTCACCATGAAAAATGTCTATACCTGTCGCTTAGCACGATTAATTAGCCCAATGGGATCTTTACGAATCTACTGTAAACGATTTCTTCGCTTCTTATCTGACCCAGATCGACTTTGTTGTTCGCCATTTTGAAAATCAATAACCGCAAGCCATATCCCCTCTGGCGCACGGCACGTCGCCCGAAGGGCAGTCTCTTGGTTTGCGGTCTATATAATGTGTAACAAAACTGTAACGCGATCAAAATAACCCATTTCTCACAGGTTTTCGACGGGTTTTGATGTTCTAAGGACAAACACATCTCCTCTGGACCCTGTGCCTCGCTTGGCTCATGTCAGGTTAATCGTAAGTACGAAAAAAAGTCACCTATGAATGATACGTTGTTTCTACACACGCGGATGCGAATAAATTACCCTTACCCGTAGGGATATATATATATGGATCGTTGCCTGGCTTACCTAGGGCTAAATCATCATAAATGGCTAGACTACTGGGAAGAACGATGATGCTGTAACCACAAATGGGAAATCATGGTTGCCTTTTACATGTCATGTATGCATACTTTAACCATTTAAGCCCTAAGAGTGATCAGCATCAAATTTCTCCTTGTAGATCCTTGTAATATCAATGCTTTGTAAAACAGAGTGGTCATAAGAATTACTTACATGGTCACACAAGATGAATTTTCTTGATATTTCATCAACTTCTCCCCATTACTTTTGTAAGAAATGAATAGGGGCAACAAATGAGAATTCAAATTTTGATCTTACGGTTTAAAGGGTTCACCGTCGGCAGAAACGGTATATCTTAGGCCTAGGCCAAACGTCGAACTTTTCATGAGACGAACCAAACTCTAATTTGGGTCGACCTAAATTAAGTTAAGATCGTCTGTTGGGTCAGACGTAGCCTGTGCCAGGCTCTCAGATAGTAGGCTGATTTAGCAACACGAGGGGAACGTCAGTTGACGACGGGAAAGTGCGCGGAAAGGACTAAACGCGACTTCCCTTGCCCAATTTGCCGCTCTGCTACTGGTCAAGCCAGTTGTTTAATTTGCGCGCGCCTTCGTCAACTGACGTTCCCGTTTTAGTATAGTAGGGACGTATTAAACGAGCAAAGCGAAAATAAGACGCGCGGGACTTGGCAAAGCACTATCTCGGAGCCTGGAACAGGCAAGGTCAAACGTCGAACTTAGGACTCGTCGAACCAATCAACTGAATCAGACCGGAGACCATCTTCAGACGGATAGAACGTGTTGGACGATTCAAACTCAGTCAGAAGATCTTAACTGAGCCAGACGTCGAACTTTTCATGAACTTATATTAACTCAGTAAGCTTTGTTCGTATCATTAAAAGTTCGACTTAACCCGTGAAACAGGCCTTAGGTCTCTAATTACCCTACCACTATTACCACTACTTGAGTATTTAGTCTTCACAGCCAATACTGTCAGAAAGAGCAAAAAAGAGAGCAGATAACACCGAAACTTCATTGACTAATCAAGGCAATATCCAAAGTACAAGAAGCCTGGCGCCTTAAAACCGACTGATGATAGCCGCATGAAAAATATAATGAACATACTTTTTAAGTTGAGGAGGACATGTTAGACATGCGCGAGGTGAGAGGTAGCTTTTTCTCTCTTCGTGCGCGTCCTCTTTCCTCGCGGCCAGCTCCGTTCTTATTTACGGCCTAAATTCTTTTGCGCCAACTAAAAGTTTCTTGGTGCTGCATTAGGCTACGATGCCGGTCGAATTTTCAACTGGATGAAAAATTGGACCGGACACTTTGTTCATACGGAACTGTTCAATATTTTTGCGCTGTTCACACGGGACTGTCGAGCCGTAATACGGTAGGACCCGGATAACTCGAACTCGGATAACTCGAACTCCCCGCTAACTCGAACTAAGCCCAATTTCCTTGGAATTTCACCGCACTTTTCAGTCATTTTTACTCGGATAACTCGAATTCCCCGCTAACCCGAGCTAAAATTCCTTTCCCTTGATTAACGATTAAAGTCACTGAAATTTACCCCGATAACTCGGATTCCGGTTCTTGTAACTCCACTCGGATGCCATCCTATTAGCTTGTCTAGTTGTATAAGGGTAAAATCACTAAAAGTAACCCTAGTCACTATTAAAGGCAATTCGATTTTAATTGATGAAACGAACAGATCACGTTTTATCATAAAAATACCTAATCATGTTTCCGTTTCTACTGAAATAAGTAAATTTGCACTGCACCATACATTGGAGTGCTGAGAAATCAGTAACTATTAATTTTTAACATGGCAAACTGAATATTTCAACCGACTCTGATAACTCGAACCCACGCTAACTCGAACTGTTTTTCGCTTCCCTACAGAGTTCGAATTACCAGGGTTCTACTGTATTTCCTTCTTTTTCCAGCTGCGTAACCACGCATCCATGCAGCCACGCCTTTGCCGTACAAAACTTTAGCCGATTACGTTGTTCATACCTTAAGTTGCCGTTCAAATTTTCGACCGTAGTATCCTGAGAAAACAGCCCACATTTGGGCACGCTACCACTGTTTTCCCCGCCAAATGACGTCCGAGAAACGAGGGCAGAAATTCCATACTGATGACGCATGACTAACCAGATCTGGGTAGTGCTTCTGGTTGGTCGAATCAAATTTCCCACGCGGCACGACTAATCAGAAGCACTACCCAGATCTGGGTAGTGATGCGTCATCAGTATGGAATTTCTGCGCTCGTTTTTCAGACGTCATTTGGAGGGGAAACCAGTGGTAGCGTTGCCAAATGTCGGCTGTTTTCTCAAGCTACGACTACCGTACCGGTCAAAAATTTGACCTCGATTTTAACGTTCAAATTTTCGTACGGTTAGCCTGGTTCCGTGTGAACGGAACATCTAAACATACAAATTTTCGACCGGTACCGTACCGTGTGAATCTTGCCTTACGGTGCAATCACCAAACGACGTTTTACAACAGATTGAAAGGAAACTGAACAATAACCACATTAAAAAACAAAAGCGAACCAACAATGGTTTCGGTAGCACCAAAAAACGCTCCATTATGCAAGCTGAGGGCGTCAATGCAATAGCATTCATTTGCAACATGTTCGTTTTCTTTTTTCCTGTTCAAATATTGATGTTGTCGACATGCTTCATGCCTTGCACATGTCAGTAACTAAGCTTGCACAGTTTAATCTAACTGAAAGTCTAGCTAAAAGCTGAAGGTGTTTCTCAGTGAATGGCAATTAGTAAAACGCTAGACTCGGCGTCTTAAACTTGACCAAATCTGTTCTAAGATTCCAGATTTTATTCTGTGAGTGAGACCACAAAGCGTGACCATAAAAAAAAAACCGTTTCGCATACTGACGATCTGACCTTATTAGTTTGTATGCTTGTAGGGTTAAATGGAAGGATAATCAGCCATCCAAATGACATTTTGGATATTTTGATAATCCAGAGAACACTATATCTAAGTACAGCATAATACTTTAATTGGATATCAGTTAAGTTGAATGAAATTTTATTAGCCACTTAAAACATTTCAAAAGACATTTTGCGCTTCATTATTCACAGGAAAAAATAGCGGATTCCATTTTTGTATATTTTTGGGTATTTAAAGAATACCCATAAAAATCCCAAATTTGGCAAAGTGAGACAAGTCCCAACCAGGGAATTCCCATCAAGTTCCCAGACAGGGACTTGTCTCACTCTTCCAAATTTGGGATTTTTTTGGGTATTCTTTAAATACCCAAAAATATCCAAAAATGGGAATCCGTTATTTTTTCCTGTGATTGCGTTCGGAGGATTTCACTGGAGCATGCCTAATTTATTCCTATTTAGCTTCTAAAAATTATCTTTTGTATCTTGTTATGTTGACGATGTTATTGCAATCAGATGTATAATATAATAATAGATTGTTGTAATAACCTCAGAGCGGTTTTCACTTGACTGTCGAAAGGGATTGGTTTTGGTTTTGGTTTTGGTTTTACTACGCCCTTTGGTTGGCTAGTGTATTTACTTTGGTTTTGGTTTTACGACAGTCAAGTGAAAACCGCTCTATCACGTACAAATCATGCTATTATTTGTTTATACTACTACCCACGAAAGGTTTGTAATTTTCACAAGTAGGTATTTCACATTAAGCTGCAATACCACTGCTCTAAGCCACCAAATTGCAGAAATTTCTCATGTAGTAGTATAACTAATAGAATGGTTTTACTTAACCCCCGAAATACATAGTAGACTACTAAGCAATGTTACATACACTTAAGCAAAATCACTCTAAACACAAACAGGACCGTTATTTCAGGGAAATTAAAGCTATAAGCTATAAACCATATACGCCACTAGGATATTAGAAGGGATTCTCTGAAAGACTCCTACCTTTTCCAGAAGATGAGATTCATTCAGTCGCTTCAGTAAAAACCCCACGGCATTTTTATCCGCGTTTTCCACTGCATCCAGGTACTGTTGGGAGGAAGGCCCGTGTTCGTGCCCCGTGGTATCGGGTTCTTCAAAGTACAAAGCGACAAAATGAGGCGGTGCATCAGAGAGAAGCCAATGCGTTACGTTATTCACTCGGTCAGCCCAGGGACCTCTTAGGTTAAAGGCACAATGTATGTAAGGTGGAAACCCAGGAAAAGTCCGATTTCTATATTTTGGGAGATCCTTGGAATTGATGGCACCGCAATCTATCAAGCATGTTTCCTTTGCGTGGTAAGTAGGCTTTTCGGCGTAACTCGTTGTTGCAGGCCAAAAATATGACGCGCTTCGCCCCCCTTGCTTCTGGACAGTCAGCCATAACGGTTCCGAGTTGTTGTAGAACTTGGGATCAAAGTTTGAGCAGTCGAAGCCGAAGATGAAAATTTCTTCGTAGACGGGATCCCAGAACTTGTTCGCCACGATGCCGTGGTTTTCGGAATAAAGACCTGTTAAAAGGCTGTGATGATTTGGCCAAGTGCTAGAGGGCACGACGTTCTTGATGTAGTCGGCAGTTACCCCGGTTCGTGCGATGAAGTCAAGGTTTGGAGTAAATCGGTGATTTTTGAGAACACGCCAATCCATTCCATCTAAGGAGACTATCACCAAAGGAGGTTCACCGGGTTTAATTTCTGCACCTGCATAAGTAAACTGCAAGCAAAAACTAGCGAGAACGATAAGAAACATTCTGGAGATGACAACTGACAACTCTATTAATATTTGTAGTATCTGAATATACGTGATCAAATTGCTCAGTGTATTGAGTACAATGCAAATTGGCATAAATATCTAAACGTCATGGCTCCTTGGTTTCCTGAGTTTATTCGTTGTTCTCTGAGCACGTTCAATCAAACGCGCTCTTCGTGGAACGCGGAACGAGCACGAAGGATGAAAAATGTAATGTCGTGGATCAGAGGACAACAAGGTGCGCCCTCTTTACATGTAAACAGTAAGTTCGGAATCTGCGGCATGTGAGCTTACTGCAACCCATCCATAACCCATGATACGAATGATGCGTGATGCGTGAAAGGTAGACCCCCGGGAGGGGGGGGGGGACTGCCATATATGGGCTATATAGGTATGTGCCGCTGTGAAGGGTATGGTTTTCAAGCAGTTTACTCTAGGATAGGGTATACAAATCAGAGCGTTTGGCTCTAGAATAGGGTATCATTTTTCAGAAAAACTGATCAGTTGGTTGAAGATTTTGTCTAGACTAGGGAAACAGCTACTCTAGGATAGGGGGGATTTGGGGAGTTTACTCTAGTATAGGGTAGCAACATTCATCTGAACTAGCTCTAGTATAGGTTAAGGGTTCCAGGGTCTCAGCGGCACATCCCCACCCAAAAATTCCTAAAGTACCCCCCCGCCCCGGGGGTAGACCACACCACCGGGAAAACTTCCCCTACTCTTTTAGCTTTTTCCGAACAGAAGAGTGGCTTCTTTTACGTTTGACTAATAAAAGAAGGATGAAGAAGACAAGGCCAACGGCTTAAAGTCACCGCCCGACGACGCGGTCATCTGAACTGAGACGAGGTCTCGAATCCGCCCACAGCCAGGAAAACTTCCCCTACTCTTTCAGCTCTTTCCGAACAGAAGAGTGCCTTCTTGTACGTTTGACTAATGAAAAAAGGATGAAGAAGACAAGACCAAAAGCTTACAGTCACCGCCCGACGACGTTGTCATGTAAACTTAGACGAGGTCTCGAATCAGAGCCAGTGTGATCTGACCCTGGTTGTTACTCCGGCCGGGGTTTGAACCAGCGACCTCACCGGTGCTCTCCCAACTGAGCTAACCGGGCGGCGGAAAAATAGGAACAAAACAGAGAATGTGTAATGAAGTTACTGATTAGATTTTGATCCCAGGTTTTTCATTTTCCCGTTCTCCGTTCCTCGTTTTAGTAACATCTAACACGACGTTTTATGAAGGACATGAACACTATACGAAGAAAAATTTCCCTTCAAAAAACTTACCGGTACTTACAGTTTAAGCTATTAAGCTACAACTATGAACGTTGTTACAATGAGTTTAAGAAATGAGGAGACTTTGAAGAGGAATGAATGAGCGCCTCGCACATGTAGAACACACGAATGTGAGCAAGCACAGGACAACTAATATAGCTATTCCTGCACAGGGAGCCCATAGTAAACAGTCATGCAGCAGGCTCAATCAGACAAACTGGGATTAATTTTGTTTTTACACTGGACTTATTAAGTGAATTGTTTAATGTTTCTTAAACTTACGTTACACTCATAAGGCCAGTTATTTCAATAAACAATTGTTAAGCCTCTACAAGTATTTGTAAGTCAATAAACTATTTTTCTAGTTTGCACAAAATACCCCTTACTAAAAAAATTTTCACAGTACACAGTACTTAGATAGTTCACTAAACTGTAAATGGGGAGGCGGACATGGTTGCAAAAGTGTCTTCTTAATTTCAAGATAAAATCCAGTATCCTTGAGGGCCTCTTAGGGGGGTGGGGGTGGGTGCTATGTGTGTCCATAGTCTGAATTTCAAATATATATTAGTCTTTTCGCAGTTTGAGGAGTTGACCATGTCCCTGTTGATATTTAACCCATCTTCATGTTGTTTGTCACCATTCTATCTTGTCTTATGTCACTGTTTCAAGGCCATGCTGCTTGTCAGAATTTTAACCTAAAAGGGCCTTCTCCTTTTGATCATGATAAGAGGGACCTTAAACAACATGAACATTTATGTCCCAGATGTCAAAAATGGCAAGCGGGAGTTGATATTTTTTCTCTTTCAGTGCTCTGACTCAACAAATTCCTCCAGCGTGATATCGAATTTCTGATTGCCATTCACGACGTCCGGGATGTCAGCGTTCTCGTTGCTTAAGCTTGCTCTTTCGCAAAGAAAAATTTTAAGAAAAACCTCTGGGACCAGGGTACCTATCTCTACATCCAAACACACATACCCCATTGCAAAAATTTCAGATCACACAGAAGAATATAATTTGAATGATATCCTTGTTTCAATAGATGGACCATGTGGGAAAGAGCATAAATAATTTAAATACAAGACAGCAGTATCTAACACGTGGTCTGTGTACTATCTACACAGAAGTCCTATCACCACCTCGATGGACTCTTCTATTCCAAGAATAGGCAGAACCTTTTCAAACTGCCGAGGAACGCTTCTGAGTAATGTGTTGTTGTCTCTTTGGTCTGTCTGATTTTGTGGTGCTGAGGCATGTATTTGTAAATCTGGCGTAACATGGCCAGTCTCAGTAATGCAAATTCTCCAGTAGATAGTAAAAATCAGTCCAGGCTTGTTTCGATTCATCAGTTGCAAAGACTGGCATCCAGCTGGAGTGCCAATTAATTGAACAGTCTCTGGATACTTTGTGTAAAAATGCTGACATGTCCTTTGTCTATTACTATGCCAATCTGCATACTGCATGAGTCCAATAAAGAATGGTTGTAGTGCCTTTTCTTTTTCTACCGTTTGAATAAAGCTTACGAGTTCTTGCTCAGCAAGAGGGTCCGTGACTTCCACTGACAGTCTTTTTAAAACTGGAACGCTTTCTTCATCAGGTCTTATATCTTTGGGTTGAAATAGCAATCATAAGTTTATATGTAACAGGTTTTGTCATGACAGTCCAGGTTATTCTGTATTACTCACAGGGTGAGATGAAAGTTAAACAACCACTTGGCTCACTCGCCTTGTGTGTAGTCACACAGGTCTAACAAAACCCTTTGTGACTGAAATTTACTTTATCTTGACAAGTGTTGCTTGCCTGTCGGACATCTCATGATATTAAAACATGCTAGCCTGACGGGTCGCTCTTCCAACCTTGGGTTATCAGACATTACTCTGGTTGTGCCCTGACTCATCTTTACTCAATATGGAACTTAACATTTGTGAAGAAGTAACTTGTGAGTTTCAAAATAACAGCAACCATAGGGTGCATTTGATTGATCATATTCCGGAATTAGAATGTGCAGAAATTCCCAACAAATCTCTTTAGTCACAAATTTTTGGACCCTTGGAGTACAACATTCATCAAATTTATTAATTTCCACCAGGTTTGTGGATCTTATTGTACAACGAAAATCAATTATTGATTTTTTGAGTTTATTCCAAGTATTCTTATTCCGGAATACGGTCCATCAAAACAATGTTCCCTTAGAAACAAGGTGGGATTGGTTTTCTACTTATGATCTCCTTGATCACAGCGCGCAGAGGATTATTTGTTATGGGAAGAGAAGCGAAAATTTTACAGCCGATCGCACGAGTCGCCTCTGTTTACTGTAGAATCAACTATGAACTTGACCTATCAAACGGTGATGTGATCAAGTTATACACCTGGTGAAATATTATCTAATGCTCAGTGAGCAATGGATAATTTTTACCAGGTTTATAAGATGATCAAATGACGGTTGCTCGAATTTACAGTATAGAAACAAAGGCGATGCGCGGTATTGCCTGTAAAATTTAACTACAATCAACAATCAAGGTCACAAATAACTCCTCCGCGCTCTGTGCCTTAATGGGTTAAAAGAGCCTATATGTGAGCCAGGCACTCTTTACCACCTCATTTGCATGCATCAAAATGCTGTAAAGGGCAAGGCATATCACAATGAGCAGTTATGCTATTCAATGACATGCATATGCAATAGGCCATTTTTTAGTTACCCCAAGCCTCGTTTTTAACCCTTTAAGCCCCAATATCCACATACAAATTCTCCAAACTGATCTCTATACATTTCCTTCATGAATGAGTTGAGAGAATTTGATAAACGTTCAAGGCATTTTTCCTTAGGTGATCATTTTGTTGATTCTCATAACCTAATCTCTTGACATTGTAGGGATATGGTTAGGAGAAAACTGACGTTAGTCACTATTGCGGTTAAAGGGTTAAAGCGAAGCTAAGTGCAAAGCCATTGATGTGAAAAGGAATTTTTATTCTCATGCAAATGAGACCCATTATTACAAGAAAGGTTTTGCACTTAGCCTCTTTTAGAAAGTGAGAGTTTTTGAAACTCAGAATCACCTATTGTATGTGGCCGGGTGCTGGCTGTTCCAACATCAGATAGCACTATCCAGCTATCGCTATTGGTATAGGTGTTAGGAAAACCAATTGCGTTATCCACTGAATAGGAATTTATCCAGTGGATAACGTCATCCACCTTTAGAAGAACTGGGGCCAGGTATTTTGCAATTTGTTAAAATTGGAATGTCCCAGTCAGTAGCTATGGAAACATAACAATGTAATTAAGCCTCTATATACACTAACCTTCTCGTTCTGAGGTGGTGGTACTTCCCCTATGTTCATCCTCCTCTACTTCAAATTCCACTTTAAATGGAATCCTAAGACAAGTTCCAGAAATTCGACGAAGTAACATCGTTCTACTGTCGGTCTTCGAAAGCACCGAAATGTTATTTTCAACAAATCTTATCCCCGTAAAGCTTTCTAGAGAGGTAACTCTATTATTGAGTACAGCGATTTCTTTTTCAATTTCACTTCTGTCAGTTTCTTCCAACGAGGAGGGCTGTCCATTTTCTAGAAGTTCAGATGCAATCCCTCGCAAAGTGTCGAGAGTATACTCGCCAGCACATTCAGACTCCTTCTGAAAAATTTCCTCCTCCAGATCGCAAATTTCATTATTTAAAGTGGCAATTTCTTGAAGAGCAAGTTCTCTTAATTCATGGGCTTTCCTAGGTTTCTTTCTAAGCGGTTCATTATTATTATTTTGGTCTCCTTTCCTGTTGTTGTTACGACTCCTTCTAATTCGATGTTCAACCTCCATCTTGAAATTTTGGCGCTAATCTTTTTCGAAAGTGAGGCTGCTCTTCTGGGCAAGTACGCTGACCTCTGAGTTTTGTTTACTTTTGCTTTTTTCCGATCTTCTGGATGCATCATGTTGAAAAATACAGGGTAAAGAACCGTCGAATAGAGTTTTCTACCATTTAAGAGATTTGAAATCACTGCAGTCTTCTAAACTTTTAATTTCAGACAGTTATCCGGTAAAACTCTGTTTATAACCGGTGCAAGCCGTGGAATTGGAAAGGCGATCGCCTTGAAAGCGGCGCAAGATGGCGCCAATATTATCATTGCAGCCAAAACTGCTGAACCCCATCCAAAACTACCAGGAACTATCTTTACTGCGGCGAAGGAAGGTAATTTTTATTTCTTCTAACTTATTTCCAGTCCAAATTTCGAACCTACTCTCGATCTTCTAGCTGTCATACTGAAACTATGATTGCGTGAAACAAGTTATTTTCCCAGACTACTTGCGTGACACATTTTGTTTACAGGTACCTATTTGTTTACACACGTGATAATTCCTTGATGCCTTGTTCTGTTAGGGTCCCCAAAAGTATTGAAGGTTACCTTTTCGACTTGAACATCTCAAACTTCAACAAAGATAAATGTTAAAAATGGTTACTGTGATGTCATTGTTTGAGAGTTTTCTTTTTCTGAGTTTTCTCTCTGTTAGGATAAGTGACAAAAATTCATAAAGACAAAATAACTGGCATAACACACATTCACTGCCAAGAACAGTCCTCTTCAGTACTGTTTCCTGGGATTGCCTTTTTCCACCAATTTATGACACATTTTGAGTGGTAAAAAACGATTTGGTACCTTTAAAGTGACATGTACAAGTGGTAAATACTCAGAACGAGTATATGATTGAAGCAATAGACCAAATTTTGTATTTGTTGCATATGGTATAATAACACCACTTGGAACCTTGCACACATCAACAAACCAACAGAAGGTTTGGCCAGGTGTACTCTGTGAGATATTGGAATTATTTTACTTGTAGTGGAAGAGGCTGGAGGGAAGTGCCTGCCTTGCGCAGTGGACATCCGTGATGATGGAGCTATTTCCAAGACTGTTCAAGATGCTGTGAAAAAGTTTGGTGGCATTGATATACTAGTCAACAATGCAAGTGCTATAAGCTTGACTGGAACATTGGACACAACAACAAAAAAGTAAAGTTTTTTCATGAAAAAGACTATGAAAGAATGATAAATCAAGGTCACTATTTGATGTTGAAAAGGCTCAGTGGTCTGAAGTAGCCCAACTATTAACGAAAGTTCAAACTTGATTTACAGATAATGCTAAAAACAAACAAAGCACCATTTAATTAACAAAAGTTAAATTTAGTTTTTGCAACTCATGGCAATAAAAGTCTCATCAGTATAATTATTGTGGAAAGGGAAAGGGTTACAAAAGAGGGCTGAGTTTTGGTCCATAGTAATTACAAACATCGTGGGTACTTTTATTTTTAGATATGATCTTATGAACAGTGTCAATGCCAGGGGAACATTTTTGTGGTGAGTTCAATTTGCCTTGTGTGTATAAAATAAATAAGAACAAGTAGATATGAATATATAATCAAACTTACAGATATTTCCCCTAAAAGTTTTTTTGTAATATTTTGCACAAATTATCAGAGCTCTTAACAAATTTAAAAAGCTTAAATGTACATGTAGGTTGTGTCATTGTTTTTAAACTGCAAATCATCAGAAAATGAGATTAAAAATACACACATTAAAAATATATTCAGATTACTGATAGAGTACATTATTTTTGTCTGCGTAACTTACTTTGGTATAATCAAAATACATTTAGCCATTATATTTTGACTTCCTTTAATTTGATTCCTTTAACGTTTCGTTTACAGTTCCAAAGCCTGCCTTCCTTTCCTTAAAAAAGCACAGAATCCTCACATCTTAAACATTACTCCACCACTTAACATGAAGCATGAGTGGTTCAAGGACAATGTAGGTAATGTATGAGAATAGCAGGCCATTTCTGTGTTACCCCAAGCCTCCGTTTCAAAGCGAGGCTAATATTATTGCAAAGCCATTTACATGGAAATGATATTTTATTCTCATGCTATTAAACTAACTCATTTTCACAAGAAAGGTTTTGCACTTAGCCTCTCCGTGAAATGGAGAGTTTTTGGAACTCAGAAGAGGCCTAATAAGAATTTGTGTACCACAGTACTTTCACATTGATGCACTTTGTTGTCAGTATTTTAAGATAAAAATTTTGCTTTTTCTCAAATTGTTTGGTACATTTTTCATGAAATTTTTATGTAACGTTGAGTTATTAGGGAGTTTGACAAATCTCATTATGAATTTTGGAAGGCAATTGGGTTAAACACCCTAACCCACCCTATCCACCCCACCCCACCCCACCCCACCCCACCCATAGCAAAATTCCAGTTAAGCATCTTACTTTCCAAGAGACTGTATATATACCAGAATTTTGGCCAGGTGGGTGTCCAGGTTTCCTGTAGGCACAACATAGAAAAATATTTCTTTTTGTGCATCTTGGGTTAAAAATGCTGTGTTCAATTTAAGCAAATTTATTTTTCGCCCTAGGGGCTTCAATATGAAAAAAATTGTTGGGATAGGGTATGCCCTAACACCCCAGTTATGGATGGGTTTTCCCCCAAGATCACTTGTGGATTTCCACTGAAACCCTGCCATTCCTCCCTCTTATATTTTATTACTTTCCATTGTCATCTTGATGTGATGTCAACCATTAATGTTTGTGGTTGTTTTCAGCTTATTCTATATCGAAGTTTGGCATGACACTATGTGTGCTTGGTATGTCTCAAGAATTCAAGAATGATGGTATCGCAGTTAATGGTCTTTGGCCTAAAAAACGTGAGTCATGAGAACCCAGTGCAATCAAGTTTTTCCTCCCAATTAACCAACACTGACAATCACGCCACTTACAACTAATGTATTACACATACCTGCCCAAACAGTCAATGTAATCAACAGAATGGTAAAAATTAAGATATTAATCGCAACCAAGTTGGTGGACCAGTGAGAAGTCTGCCAAGTGGAAAGATGATAATATTGTTAGGTTAAATAGCATTCTGACTGAGATGGAGCTTTTTCTTCCATGCTTGGTATGGGTTCTAATTTGCATTTCATTATCCCTGGGCAGTCTGTGCCAGCTGTGATTACAGGATGTTTTTTATACATCTGTGAAATTCCTTAACTGGGCTTCCTGTGCTCTATTGCAATTTTCCAATCAGAGTGAATTCTTTAATTACTGTTTTACGTCATGGAAATGGAAACTGCTTCATAAGTCTGAGAAAACAGCTCATTTTGCAACACCACTGCTTGTTTCCCTGCAAATTGACAATGATGTGTTGCCAACCAGATGCTGGATCGTGCTCCTTTTTTGTTAAAGTAAATTTTCATCCAATCAAAGCACTATTCAGATCTTGGTAGTGACACATCATTAGTATGGAATTTCTGCGCTTGTTCCCCAGACGTCATTTCGCAGATAAAACAGTGGGGGCATCTCGAAATTCCGGCTGTTTTCTCAGGCTACTGCTTCATAAGGTGCAGGGTGCAAAGAAGTCGGTTTTACAGCCTGCCATTCGGGCAAGCTGTAGCTAGCATGTTCTAGCCCACAAGTCATTTCAGCTAGCCCCAGAACCCTTTTTGATTAGCAGGATTGATTACAATCCTTCCGTAATTTGAATTTCCCCCAAAAAACAGTACTTGCCCGTCGGGCTAGTTGAGAACAAAAATCACTAGCCCGATAGCAAAATCCACTAGCCCCGGGCTATCGGACACGACTTTCTTTGCACACTGAGGTGGATAAATTTTTTGCTCAACAGCCATTGCTACAGTTGCTGTGGAAGTAATGTATAGCAAAGAGGCACTCGCATTTTGCCGAACTGATCAGATCATGGCTGATGCTGCATATGCTCTTCTAACAAAAAACAGTCGAACAAGGACTGGAGAGTTTCTTTATGATGAGGATGTTCTTAAACAAGAAGGAATAACAGACTACGATCAATATTTGGTTTCACCAGGTAAATGCTCATTTAGTTAAAAAAAAAAAAAGAACAATCTGACATGACATTCTTAGGCTAGGTTATTGTAATACTGTCTTTAACATTGGCTGTATTAAACTGATTATAAATTAATTTTTTCTTAGATTCCTTGCTATCATTTCATGGTCTGTCAGCTCACATGGTCTGTCAGCTCACATTAATCAATTCTCCGTTAATCAACTTAAATTTTATCTCTAAAGCTACTAGAAACGGGCAGCAAAAACGCGCAACTTGTTTTGCAACAGTTGCATAGTGATGTTGCGCGTTTTATAGCCCCCATAACAGGCGCTTTATGATCGAGCCAAGCGAGGCGCTTCGCGCAAAATGCCGTGTTCGCCTCGCTAGGCTCACAAAGCGCCTGTTATGCAGGCTACGCGTTTTACAGCCCTCGTTCTAGCCTTTCTTTCAACGAATCAGATTGTTGAAGGCGCGTGAATACTGACTTCTGATTGAATAAAATTGTGCTGGATTCACGCCACACAGGGACTGCAGAACAAGGTTTGCCTTAGTTTAGGTCGGCAAAAAAGCGCAACAACTTTTCGCAACTTGCAGCAATCTGATTTGTCGCAAGACAGGTTTGATTCTCGGTGGTAAAACGTGCAACATCGCTTTTCAGCTCGTACAGCAGCAATGTTGCAGAACAAGATGCACGTTTTTGTTTTCCGTTTAACCCTATCTCAAGATATAAGAAAACCCTGAAAAACGCTCGGGATAGATAATTCCATACTTACCCTTTTGACTAAAAGCTGAACCTCTCAGTGTCACTGACTCTAAATTGATCTTTTTTTTCCTGGCGTGTGTCGACATTCTAGTGTATCATGGTTAACTCTTTGGTGGGTTTCCTGTTACCTTTTTAGAGGCATTGAAGACCGAAAACACCTCGCCAAGTATCCACATTGGAAGTGTGTCAGAAGTCTTTGAGAAGGTTCACAGTCTTTGTAACGAGGAACTTGTTCAGAGTATAAACGGCATCTTTGAATTCCATTTGAGTGGAAAAGAGCCCGGAGTGTGGTATCTGGACCTCAAGAATAATTCAGGTATATGAAAATTTTGTAGTCTCGTGGTGTTTCAGGAACCTTTTTTTAATGAGCAACAACGACGGGGACTGCAACGAGAACAGTAAAAAAGCAATGCGTAGATTAGCAAAACAACAACTTTGCACGTGGATCCACGTGCATCACGCTTTTTGGTAGATTTCCTTGCCGTCGTTGCGCGACTACAACGTGAAATAACGAGAGTACTGAGAAATGCGAAACTATAGAAATCCATAATTCTTTCTGAACTGTACTTCCTTGAAAGGAAATTCTTATCCTCTTTTTCTGAACTTAGATACAGCACTTAGAGTTCAACGACAGAAACATTCGCCAACATTTAACAAACAGGACGAGATGGAATGAAAGCTATAAAGTTTTAAAAAGCGCCAAAAATCGACTGCGCACTTATATCACAATAATATTATTGGTACCTTTTTGCCACCCTCCGTAGTACACTACAGCTAGGACGTGAAACTTTCATTATGCGAAATCTATGAGGAACTTCAAAGGACCACATTTTTTCCTTTCTCTTTCCAAACTTGCGTGCGGCCCGTGAGAATTTGAACAACGCCTAAGCTCCACTACTTTTTTCTGACAGGGGCCTCAGTTTGAAATTGCCGCGGGCATATTTTTAAAAGGTTGAGAAAATAGGGTATGTGGGTTTCATTCTTAGTGTAAATGTAGAATTCTTATTAAGAAACTTAGAAATGAAAATTTCCAGAAACGTGAATTATTTGTAATTTCCTTCATTGTTCTAACATTGCAGGAAACGCTGGTAGAGGTTCTTTTCACGGAGATCCCGGCTGTACCATGATTTTAGACTCAGAGGATTTTGTAAAAATGTTCCAAGGACAACTGAATCCATTACAGGCGTTTATGGGCGGAAAAATGGAAGTTAAAGGAGATAAAATGCTGGCCGCGAAACTTGAGAAACTTATGGGCACAATGAAGTCAAAACTATAGCGAATATCCGTTAAGAGGGGATAACCGTGTTACTCACTCCTTGTGGAGGCTAAAATTAACATTCAAGAGAAATTTCAATGATCATTTTGTTAGCTCCATGTGGAAGTAGTGTAAAAAGGTTTCATTTGAATGGTCACACCATAGGATTTTGTTTACAGACCTCGAAAGTTAGGACTACATAGTTTACAAAACAAATAGTACCATGTGAAAGTACCGCTGAAGAGGTTTCATTTAATAGGATTTACATACAAAGCAAATAGTATTATGTGAAAGTACTGCTGAAAAGAGTTCATTTGAATGGTCACACCATAGGATTTTGTCCTCAGACTCAAAAGTTAGGACTACGTACAAAACAGATAGTGTCATGTGAGTGCCGAAAGAACGTTTCGTAGTGAAGCCCTCGAAGCTACGATGTAACAAGTATTATTTAAATCTAATTCATCCTAAGACTAAATATCTTAATCAAACATTAAAAAAATACAGTACTGCTGAAGAGCTACTCAAAGTTGTAGTGCCACCGTACGGAAATAGTGGAGCGCTAACCCTTCTTCGAAGACGCTACCTGGTCAAGGGTAGCAACGGACAGTTTTGGCCTGCATAACAGGCGATACCTACACAGTGTTACTAAAGTATTTTTTTCCCTCCTAAACAATGACCACCAACACTAATGCCAAAATCTGGTGAGAATGAATTGCCAGGGGTGTTAACAGAGAGCCTGTTCACAGGTTACAGGGGTGTAAATTCGTAGAAAGCGTTTTCTTTTTGAGTTAGTTTTATAGAGAGGAGGTCAGAGGAGAAAGTTGCTACTTTGGACACTGTACAGAAATGAACTTAATGTCTTTTAGCTTAATGATTATTTATCAGCTACTTTGTTCTCCTACTTACGTACACCTATGTAAATGCCTTATCTATTGTGAAATAAAGAAAGATTGATTGATTAAATGTTAACGGGAGAACAATAATACAATTGTTTTCTAACCTAAAAACATTAGTCCTCAGTCTGCATAGTTACACCGCCGACAAACCTTCCGCCGCAAAGCCTTTAGGGACTTTCAGGGGCTGGTCATTAGAATTGACCGTCTGTAGAGTGTGATTTCCCGTCTGCTGTCGAGAACTCAACCAACCTACTGGTTGCTATCCCAGGAGCCAAATCAGTTCCTTTCTTCTTGATGAAGAGGGACCCCTTTCCGTTCTTCCGCAAATTTTCGCTCAATCTCGTAAATCCCGAATTCCGTCTCCATATTGTTTTGATATCCCGAATCCCAGCCACCAAATGAAGGCAAATCCCGGGTCCTGTAGCCTCCCACGCTGGCGTTTTTAGAGGAGCTCGTTTTTCATCCCTCTCCCCGTGGGGAGGGAAGAAAAACGAGCTCCCCTAAAAACGCCTGCGTGGGAGGCTACGGATCCGGGAGACCTTCACAAAGACCACCGTCATCGTCAGGTCAATCAAGGTCGCTAAATGCTGGCCAATATATCCGAGGGCTCAAATTTCTCATCTGGCGGTTGATGGAAAATGTTGAACACAGGGTAAGATCTCTACAAAAAATTTTCAAATATAAGTATCTTAAACATTATTTCACTGTAGCTTCATGCCCGTTATAAAATTGATTTTAGGAAACTAGCTGGTAAAACGATCTTTATAACCGGCGCAAGCCGTGGAATTGGGAAGGCGATCGCCTTGAAAGCGGCGCAAGATGGAGCGAATATAGTTATCGCTGCTAAAACAACAGAGCCACATCCAAAACTACCAGGAACTATTTATACTGCAGCAAGAGAAGGTAAGTTTATAGTTGCTAATAACAATTTTTTCTGTTATTCCTCTCTAGGAAGTTGCCGTGAGATTTTGTATTTTATGTGACATTTTATTGACTCCTGTTGAGCTGTAAGTTGTGTGTGTACTTTACCCTCTCCTCCAGTCCCCTGGGGAGCGAAGATTACAGGGCTGTCAACTCTTCCAGATAATCCGGGAGACTCCAGATTTTGAACCATTTCTCCCGGTCTCCAGATTAGAGTCTGAAATCTCCTGGATAATCGCCGAAGTTTGCCATTTCTCGTAGATTCGACTTTTCAACAATGAAATTTCAAATGTTTTGCCCTATTTGAGCTATTTTACTGTTAACATCGAACGTTTCCTCACAAACTCCGGTATGCCATTGTAATGTTAGGAATAATGTGATTGGTGGAAAGTAAACCAATCAGGTCAAATGTTACAATTCCAACAACATCTTTTCCACGTGTTTTTTTTTTTTTTTTTCACAAATGATGTCATGTGCTGTCCATTATGACATCATCTATCATCCCTGACCCTTCCCCATCAATTCTCAATATCTGAAGACGTGGAGAGTTGACAGCCCTGAGATTACCCAGCTCAGCTGCAGTCATACTAGCCTGCATTGCAGATGTAATTTAACCCCAGCTAGTAACCTCTGTGAAGCAGCGTCGAAATCCTTGTCAAACAACGCTCCCCCACATTGCGTGACATCAAAAAACGGCTGCGAGGGAGATTAAGGAGAACTGGGCTTAAAAGGGAAAAGGAGTATAAAAAGTGAATGGATAAGGATGCCTGCTTTCCCAAAGTGAGGCCATAAGGAGCGTCTGCCTGAAGGGCTCCTTCTCCCCTTGCATGTCTCTCTCACAGGCCCCATTCTTTTCTGTGCCAGTTACTTCCAAGCGCCTGCTACATAGGCCTAAGTTCATAACAGAAGAATGTTGAGGATCAACTCTAGGTGTTCATCTTATAGAATTTAAGGTGTTTTATGAGAGGAAGTTTGTAAGAGTATTTGCTCTTGTTTGGCTCTCTTTGCAGTTGAAACAGCCGGTGGGAAGTGCCTTCCCTGTGCAGTGGACATTCGTGATGAGGATGCTGTAAATAAGGCCGTTCAAGATGCTGTGAAGAAGTTTGGTGGAATTGACATACTTGTCAACAATGCAAGTGCTATAAGCTTGACTGGTACTCTTGATACACCCATGAAAAGGTTTGCCTACTCTTTCTCTCTTAATAAAAGTGATCGGAAAAAAAAAAAGAAATAATGATTATATCTTAGCAACAGATGTGACTAAGCACCTACCACTGCAAAAACTGCTCTGGACTAGTTCAAGACTTGGTTTACACTGTTCTCTTATCTTTGGTGTTTGTTCTTCTCTGAAAAGAGAGAGTGGGAATTTGAGGAACAGGGATTTTACTGGGTCATTTCCTGATTACTCTAGTAACTGAGTCTAAAGCAAATGCTCAAACAATCTTAGGGTCATTAAAATTGAAAATTAAAGCTGAAATCCAGATATGCTTGGAATGGTATCTACTTCAAAGCAATAACAGGTCTCTGGTATACTTTGTACTTTCTTGTCAGACCAACTGAAAAATAAGTAACTCAGACCACCTTGATTCCTGATTTTCAAGACATGTTTTGTTTAATGGAAAGCACTCTCTGATTAGCCAATAAGACCAATCATTGTACTAAAACTTAGGGTTATCTTGTAGATATGATCTTATGAACAGCATCAATGCAAGAGGAACATTTCTATGGTGAGTTCCCTTAACCCTTTAAGTCCCAATAATATTGTGCCAATATTGTGACCAACATCAATTTTCTCCTAACAATATCCATACAATGTCAAGAGATTAGGTTATGAGAGTTAATAAAATGATCATCTAAGAGGAAATGCTTTGATCTTTTATCAAATTCTCAACACATTCTTTAAGGAAATATATAGAGATCAGTTTGGAGAATTTGTATGTGGATATTGGGGCTTAAAAGGGTTAATGCTAAATTTTAATTCAGGTAGTTATGACGTCAACAATCTAGAAGACCCAAAGAATGCAGTCTTGCAAGTGTAGACATCAATTCATAATTTTGATATTCTTGTTTGATTTTGCTTTGTCAGTTCCCAAGCCTGCCTTCCTTATTTGAAGACTGCAAAGAATCCACACATCTTAAACATAAGCCCACCATTAAATATGAAACCCTATTGGTTCAAGAGCCATGTTGGTATGTTTGTGTTATATGATAATTTTAAAAAAAGATATACAAATGTTTATTACTTAGTAATAACTAATGGCTAGAGAGTGCAGCTAGAAAGATTGAAGGTTAAAATACTCTTGCTTTAATGCAGTGTGTAGTGTAAGTTTCACGAAATAGAAGATCTAAACGCAGGTGATCAGACATGTGGTCTTTTTACTCTATTCGTTCTTGGTGGAATTCCCAACGAGCGTTGGCTACATAGTGCCAGTCATGCATAATACATTTAGCAACTCGGAAATTGGCATTGCAAGCTGTCTCTTGTTGCCCACAGTAGTGGTATGAAGAACATGATATTTGACATTACTTCTTTGTTGTTCTTTTGTGGACCATTCGCCAGTTTTCTTGAGAACAATTATTTTGCCATATTTCTGCAGATAAACTGAGGCTGAGCAATTAATCCACTGGTTAGCTCTACATGTAACTTAATATCACTCTTGAGTTTAAGGAAATAAGTCTTAAAATTTTTCAACCTAACACTACGACTGCTCATCTTGTTTTTAGCTTACACAATGGCAAAGTATGGAATGTCTATGTGTGTCCTTGGTATGGCTGAAGAATTTAAGGATGTTGGAATTTCTGTCAATGCTCTCTGGCCCAAAACAGGTCTTGAAAATTGAGATAGTATTATTTAATTTTAATCATCAGTTTTTTTATAAAATGTAGTACTTATCATGTAATAGCAGTATGTAAAGCCTTTTATATATACATTTTTTGTATACCTTGGTTTCCAAAGAATTTATCAGTCTCCATTTTAAAGGGAACCTGTAATTGGCCATGCCTAATCAGGCAACACAATAGCCTCCCATGTGGGTTGTCCCTGGCAACTGCAGCTGAATTTTGCTACGCTATACTAGAGTAAACTCCCCAAATCCCCTCTATCCTAGAGTAGCTGTTTTCCAGAAACTACTGAGGTCAATGGCACAGTCTTGCCAAAACAAAACCTTATACCACAATCTGTAGTCTAGATAAAATCGTCAACCA